GAGCGACCGTATAGAGGCATTCCGATGTTAAGCATACTCTTCGGTGCACCTCTTCTTACATACTCCAGGGAAGCCCATTCCTGTTTGACGCAAACGTGTTTGATTTAAATTGATTATATTGATTGCTAACAAATTTATTTATTGTGCACATGAGGGACTTTCTCAAATATTTAGGTTCCCTTGGTACCTAGTAGTGCATATTTAATCTTGAGACTGATGTGATTAACGAAATGGCCGACAGACGGCCAACTTGGATTTTAACATCGCTATTTCTCAACACAAAAAAACGCGAGGGATATCGATCTGTTTCAAAATTAATATAATAAAATGACCGACATGCGTCTATCTTAGATTTTGACGTTTAAGTTTTGTTATCTCTTGATATTTATAAGAAAGTGCTGGATCTTTCTCAAATCGTATTTGTATGTTCCAATTGTCCCCTTGTTTGATATACAATAATGAGGATTCATCCCTCAATGACGACACTTCTGATTATGTAATAATTACAATTTCTTCCAATTCATAAAGTTATACAATTTTATAATAGAATTTGCCATAGTGGCAAATGACATGAAATCACGATGTTAAAATAATAAACAGGATTCCCATTTATGATTTCAAACGTGGGACTGGGTACCTGTAAGGAAAATGAATAGCAAATAAGGTAAAAGACCATTTTTTGTGGATCTGATAAAGATCCTTTGATGGTGAGCGCCATATCTGTGATATCTTGTTTTATACCGTTACCGCGTGGACATGGTCAGCGTCACTTACCTTGTTTCATACCGATACCGTTTAGAGGGTTGGTTGTACAGGGTTTGACGTATACCAGCAGCTAAGGTCCTTTAAAGGCGTTAGACTTTGTTGACATTAAGACTACCCTCACTGATTTGATTCGGTAATGTAACAGTACCGTATTACACTAACCATATTCAGCAAAGCGTCATTTCCCACGTCCATGGGGCCAGCTTTTAGCGGACTGTTGTGGCCGGTGTGGTCCTCGAATGAACCATGGAGATCATAGGACATCAGGTTAATCATATCCAGATACCTGTATAAAAGCAGCACCTTGTTAAAGGATTGACACCAGAATGTGTCAAAAACTAATTGTAAATTGTACAACAATATAAGACATTCTAATGATCCTTTTTTATGTATAGAGTTAGTGTTATCCAGCATATAAATATTTTCCGGTGATATGTATTTCATTATTCCTGTTTTCCTCACAAGTCTGGTTATGACGTGTTTTACGGTAAGTCTGCTGGCTGTTAACAATGATAGTGTGGATGCAGTGGCGCCCATGTTTTATTAGTATCGTGTTTGAACACAGTATTCTATGTTTGTATCCCAGGTACTCTGAGATCGACTCCTTTTGTATGCGTGTTTTTCTGGCGATAATTGCCAGTTGTCTTGGGGTGAAGAACATTCCGACTCCTTCTTCAGTCTTGGAGGCGACCATATTGCCTTGCTCTCAGGAGCGACAGAACTAAAGCCCTGTGGACACTATTACGTCTTCCTCTATTGTCGTTGCTCAGTTGTAAGGAAAATGGGTTGTTGTGCCACTCTCTCCATGTTTAGCATGGCGATTATTTTCACGGCATCTTTATTTGTCTTTAGTTAATACATATTACGAGGAGAGGCAGGACATGCAGAAGAACAGACGTGAACGTCTGTCCTGAATGCCGCGATGAGGACGGTGACAGAAGTTCAGTTTTCAATGCTGTTCTACGACGTGATACTGGAACAGCGCTCTTCTAGTCATGCTAACATGCAGGTGAATGAGCCTCTTGGTGAACCCATTTTCAGGCCTCATTGTGTTCAGTGGTGTCTTACCTTTGAAAAAGCAGAAGCTGAATGATGGCTCTGTAGCTTCGGCATTTAAAAACACGAATACATATGATGGTTCTGGGTCTGAGGCGAAGAAGGCAAATACTAACACCAGTGTACACTAAACTGGACAATCAGGTAAATATTAATTTACTTTTCACCATAATTTCATTCCAGCAATGTTTGTCACTATATCATAAATATACATCATACACTTGTGTTTTCGGTTACAAGATGATATTTCCGGCATTTGGTTCTATACATATATCGCAAAATACTGTTAAGGTCACGTAGATTCTTGAACAATTGTAATTGTAGCCTGAAAGTGATACCTGGGTACTTTGGCTAATATTGGGAGATACGCGATCAATATAAACAATCACATACATATCAAATATCAAAGAGTCAAGAGAGGTTCTGATTCGATTTCCTCTCAAAACTACCATTAGTTTGAAAAAACATTGTTTCTGAAAATTATTATCAAGATAGATAGTCTGGCAAGACACGTTAATTAAGAAAGTTATGTTTTCGAAATATGTTTTAACCTTAAACTATTTGTGTAACCATATTCAAATGCCAGTAAAGCCGATACACAGCTTATTGACATGAAAGGAACAATTAGTGAAAATTGCGTACATAAAAATACTTTGAATTGCATGCCAATTCTTTCCCGCAAGTGTCCTGTGTAGGTAGAGTGACGTTTATCCTCCGGAGCGTGTTGCATTTATGGATAAGTCTCAGCCGATATTCCAGGTCAAGGGAAAGAAAAGCACCAAGAAACATTCATAGAAGAGGAATTTGATTTAAATTGTGTTCCCGAATCGTTTCTGCCTTTCGCTACTTCCCGAACCGTCGTTGTTTTAGTCTCATTCATATCTAAAGGCCGGTTATGTCGGAGGGCCTTGGAATTCCATTGTTAATGAATTTTCCTTCACGAAAGAGCAAATTTTCTACCTCTAACTTCCCCTCTTGGAGAACCAGAAAAATGATCATCATTTGTAAGATACGGTCGAGGAGTTCACAATGACGTAGAGCATTTTCGGATTCTATTCCAGAAATCATCTCGTTTGGAAGTCGCATGACGCTTCGAGTCACATTTTAGATCGATCTAGTCTGATAGCGTTTAGTACACAGATTCCTCTCTTGCTTCAATATAAAGACACAACCGGACATTTTCGCCTCGACATGGGAGTTAATTTGGGAAACTTCAATCGATCGCAAGGATGCATAAATCCGTTTTCACATGAAGAAGGCAGCAGAGAGCTACCTCCGTGTCACCTGCAACGTGAACTTTTCCGAGATTCCTGGCCATGCCATTCGGGCTGACTTCTGCTCCGCTGGTTACAATCGATCTGTTGCAGGTTTACCTTGTTGAGTTTTGATGACATTGTGACCCTGGGTCATCTTAAAGCCGTGGTTTATTCAATCCCTCTCAGTACTTTGTCTACTGGGGCATCAGTTTTACTGCTTATTCGATAATGGTCTTCCACAAGCAAAGACATTTTTGAAGGCTCAGCAGTATGTCGTGTATGTAGGCTTGTTGGTTCTCAGATTTCTGATTACAGCAACTTGCGGATGTGACTCATATGAGATACCCTTAACATCAGACCTTACATATGATTTTTTGTTTTTATAGTTTGTCAGGAAGAATTGTAGCTTTTGTCACGGTGATTATAGTATCAGCTATAATGCAGCTGTTTGTAAGACTGTGCTTCTTCAATCTGTATGTAACGATATACGTATACATCCTCCCCTGTTTTCTTCGTACGGGAGTGATGTTTAGGACAATGTTCTCATCGTATGACAGACAATTGCCAATCAGTTGTTTTTAAAACGACAAAGCTTTTTGTCAACATTCTTAGGAAAAGTGATTCAGTATACGCATACATTACTTAGGGGAGAACCAAAAGACATTCTCTGTTTTAAAGACGTAATCAAGGTACTTCATCACTGTGAAATCATGACTATGACGTAAGCGATACGTCACGTAAGAAATGAGAAACGTACTTGATTAGCTGGGGTATGTCGTAGGCCGTATCGATTGTTGTTTTGCCT